TCTCCAGAAGTCATTGGCGAAAAGTCTACCAAAAAGTATGGAGGAGCTTATAGCTCGGATTGAAAAATACACCAAAGCAGAAGATGATATGCCGGGAACAAAGGCACCAAAACAAGAGAAGAGAAACTGCTTGCCGAAGTGAAGCCGAGGTAACACTGGTTTTAATAGACAAGTGACAGGGTTGAGGGCTGCACAGGCAGTTACCACTGTGTTCTGGATCCCGGTTTACAAAGTTCTAGAAAGAATCAGGAACCAGCCATATTATAGAGCGCCAGAGAGGATCCTTGGTGAGTTTATGAGAAAGAGCCTTGGGAAGCACTATGCCTACCATAATGAGGATGGGTACTTGACTCAGGGGTGCAGGGCTCTAAAGATGCACTTGGAGGATTTGGTCAGGCAGGGTCATCTGTGAGACCTAGTAGATGAGGCCAGAATAAGGGAAGAGCAGGCAAGACTGCCCTAGGCACCGACAGCTCCACCACCGCCATTGCCACCACAATAAGCACATGGACCTCGGGTGATTAATGTTATTCACTCAAAAGTTAATAAGAATGAGATGCGTGGGAAGACTCAACGAGTGAGACATCTGCAGCATGTGTATCAGGTCCAGCAGAAGAAGCCTAGGACTAATGAGTACCAGGGACTAATGGTCTCTTTTACCGAGGTAGACCTGGATATGGTGCAGCATTCATACAATGATGCCTTGGTGATAACGTTGAAGATTGGGGACTGCCAGGTAAGGCATAAACTAGTTGATCAAGGCAGTTCTTGTGATATCATGTATGTAAGATGTTACAAGGAGCTTGGTCTTCACTCAAATAATTTGGAACAATCCAATAACTCGGTGGTTGGATTCAACGAAATGCCAATGTGGCCTATAGGAGCCACAAATTTAAAAATGTAGGCAGGCATGAAGAAGGTAAGCACAGAGTTTACAATAATTGACACCCCGTCCTATTACAATGTTTTCTTTGGAAGACCATGGCTGCAAGCAATGAGGGCTGTTCTCTCAACATTGCACCAGTTATTGTGGTTCCCAACGGGGCATGGAATTCAAGAGGTCAGAGGGGATCAGGTGCAGGCAAAAAATTGCTCCATAGTAGCAATGAAATCCACCTGCAACGTGCAAGAGGCAGAAATAGTAGAAATTGAATACGAGGATATAAAGGTTCTGGATGACGTCGGCAAAGAGCCAACCGATAAAAGTGAGGAGATGGAGTTGGAGGCTTTCTTGTGAACAAATATAGAAGTGTTTACCTGGATGCCATACAAGATGCCTGGCATTGACCCTAAGGTTACTTGCATAGGCTCATTGTAGAAAGGTCGGCTAAACCTGTGAAAACCCATATTTAAATTATTCTTAAAAGAAAATAAATAAATAAATAAATTAATTAATGTTATTCAGAATCTACCTAAAATATATAATAGTGTAAAAATTATTTTTAAATTAACCAAATTCAATCACTAACAAAGACCTTATTAAGAATAAAAATGTGTGGATAATTATTTTTTTTTTTAAAAAAGAGAGAGAGAAAGAGAATCAGATTCGGTGGAAAGGATATGCCACATGCTAACTTGCATGTAAGCATGAAAAGTTTCATCCCATCATCATTCTTGGGTTAAGGAGAATGGTAGTGGAGAGTATAATGAGAAAGAGAGAGAGAGAGAGTGGGGGAGCTCAGCATATATATACACCAAGAATGGCCGAGCAAAATTCCATGCAAAGAGAGGCTTAGTCTGCTCTTTCGTACAAGTGAGGGAAAATAAAAAAAAAAATCTCAACTAACAGTAGAAGGAGAAAAAGAGAGGAAGGTTAAGGAAGTAAAATTTTTCAACCATTTTATCACCCATTTGAATCCTACTATTAAGTAAGAAAACCCTTTCAATCCTCTCATTTCTTTTATATATTTGAAATTTTCAAATTATATACATATGATAAATTGTCTAAACTTGTAGATAGGATTTTATTTATACTTGTATAAAAATTTTATGATAGTATATTAAATATTGGTAATCTGAAAATTATGATAATATTGTGGAATTTGGACTTGCATGTATAGTTTATGCAATTAAAAGATTATTGAAGATGTTATTTGACCCTTTTAAATCTGCCAGAAAGTTGTATGAATTTTTAGATAATTTTTTACTCAAAATCTCGAGATTATTTCTTCTACAAAGTTGTTGAGAATGATATCTAGTTCATCTAGGAATTTTGGCAACAATTTCTGAGATTTCTACTAATTTATACGAATTTTTAACTAAATCTGAAACTGTGTTAATAATCTGTTTTGAATCTGCCAGAATGTTTGCCCGAATTTTTAGACAATTTTATACTCAAAATTTTGAGATGATTTCTTCTACAAAGTTGTTGATAATAATGTCTAGTTCATCCAGGAATTTTGGCAACAATTTTTTAGCTTTTTACGAATTTATAAAAAGTTTTAACTAAATCTGGAATTGTGAGACAGATTTTACTATGTATCTGAAAATTTATTTAAAATTATATACTAAGCCAAATCTGGTAATTTTTAACTAAAAGATGAAATTTGAGAAGTCTAGTTTCATGATAAATTTTTAGATTATGGATTTGATTTATAAATTTAATCATGGAATTAATGTAAGGAAATGTGACAAATCTGTGTCATAAAAATTGCTAGAAATTTTACAGGATTATTTACATCTTATTTTTCTGAAATTCTTTTTGAAAAGTGACCTAAAAATCCCTATTGAGTATTCTGTTCAATTGCATGAATTTTAGGATTGTGTAAATAATTTATTTATAATTTTTAATACCTAAGTTACAACCTGAAATTTTCTGGACAGGATAAAATCATCATTTCAATATTGTGTTGGTCTAATCCATCAACTATTATAAATTAGAAATCCATGTATGGGTGTGTTGTAATTTATTTAATATTGTGTTAAGTCTAATTTGGAAAATCAAAAATTTGTGCATGGGTGTAATTATGGTTTATTTCTTGTAACTAAGTTATTATGTTCATACCATGGTTTAAATTAATTGTCTATTAACTTTTATACGTTGAATTATTTTTGGTGTGACATGTATAATGTTGGAAGTATTGTTTTAGTTGGTATAACATTATTGGTGATTGAGAATTGAATAATTTGTGTTTAATATATAAATTAACCAAAATGATTAATGGTATATATAAAGTTACTGACAGAGGGTTAATACCGGGTATTCAGGGTGAGCCCTGGTTTTTTATAACTTTTAAGTAAATTGTGTCGCGAAACCCTAAGTTGGCACGGGGATTATTTGAACCTTTATCGGTATTTAGTTTTGGAATAAGGGTGGATGTGCGGGTGGCACGCAGGGAAGTTACGTACTCCTGGCAAACCGTTCCCTTGGGGTAGACCACGGATGTCACGGCTTGGGTATATAACTCCGGGCGTGGGCATCTTTGGTAGTTCTTGAATATTTGACCAAGGGGGGGTTTCCAAATTAACCGTGGCTATGACTTAGTGGTTGGTAAGTTAAACCTCTTTGGCGAGATTTCAAAGGTCACCAAAGTTATTAAAATTATTTGAATTAATTTATTGGTTGTAATTTATGTTTACAATTATATTATTATCTCGTATTTATAATCTCATTATTTTCTCGCAAAAAGAATGGTAGGTTGGTTATGTTTTCTTACTGTGTTGCAAAACTCATGGCATATATTTTGTTGTCCTGGCGTTTCATGCCAGATTATGTCGAGGAAGGGACTACTGAAATTGGAGCTGCTGCTAATACCGAACCTTGGCTAACTTAAAGTCAAGATTTTATCAAAATAAAATTCTGTTATTTCTTGTATTAATATTTAACTATGTTGTGACGTTGTGTGTGAACTTGTGGTTTTATTTTGTTGTTGGACTTTGGCTATGTAAGAATATAAAAGTTCCTAATTAGTAGTTAAAATTTTATCTAGCAAGTTATTGTTATTTAAATCTTATGATGTTTCAAAAAAAATTTGGGGCGTCACAAAACCTGTCATTCAGCGGGCAAGGAGGTCGACATTGATTTATGTGGAGGCAGTAGAGGAGGAAGTGGACAAGCTGTTGGATGCCAAGGCTATTCGGGAGGTAAACTCCCAAACCTGGCTGTCCAACATAGTAGTTATGAAAAAGAAGAATGGGAAGTGGAGGGTCTGCGTGGACTTTACCAGCCTGAATAAGGCTTGTCCTAAAGACAGCTTCCCGCTACCTAAAATTGATCAGCTGGTGGATGCTACTTCAGGGCATGGGAGCATGAGCTTCCTGGATGCTTACAAGGGATACCACTAGATAGCAACGTATCTCCCTGATAAGGAGAAGACTGCATTTATCACCCAAAAGGGTTGTATTGTTACAGATTGGTGTCTTTCGGGTTGAAAAATGCAGGAGCAACTTATCAGAGGTTGGTGACCAAGATGTTCAAACATCTGATTGGCAAAACATTAGAAATGTACATTAATGACATAGTCATGAAGACCAAAGAACTCGGGAATCATCTAGCTGACTTGAAGGCAGTTTTTGATATCCTCAGAACATACCGGCTCCGACTCAATGCTTCGAAATGCGCATTTGGAGTCGAGTCTGGTAAGTTCCTGGGATATTTGGTTACCAGAAGGGGCATTGAGACAAGCCCAGATCAAATCAAGGGCATTATTTACTTAAAGAGCTCGACGTCAGCCAAGCAGGTCTAGATTTTGACCGGCAAGGTGGCAGCCCTGAATAGGTTTATCAGTCGAAGTTCTATTAAGTGTAAACCATTTTTTAGTTTGTTAAAGAAGGCCACAGATTTTTTGTGGACGAAAGAGTGCGAAGTCGCCTTGGCTGACTTGAAAAAGTACCTGACAACTACTCTAGTTCTATCAAATCCAGTACCTAGAGAAGAATTGTTCCTATACTTGGTAGTTTCAGAACATGCAGTAAGCGTGGTAGTAATCCGAGAGAATGAAGGAGAACAAAAGACAACATACTATATAAATAAGACCCTTGCAGGTGCAGAAACCAGGTACATGCCCTTGGAGAAACTAATACTAGCCCTGGTGATGGCTTCGAAAAAACTGAATCACTACCTCCAAGCCCTCAAGATTGTGGTGCTGATTGAGCATCCTTTGAAGTCTTTGTTGCAACAAGGAGATCAAATAGGCAAGGTAGCCAAATAGGCAGTAATGCTGGGCCAATATGACTTGGAATTTAGGCCTAGAACAACAATTAACAGCCAGGTTCTGGCTAACTTTGTGGCCAAGTTCACCCATGGTACCATCCCACATAGGACTCCGGTGAGCCGCGGCTTGGGATGCCTAGTGGAGCAGGAAGAAGCCCAACTGGGGACTAGGAACCCCACTCTAGCAAAATAGAAGAAAGAAGAGAAACCAAAGCCCTACAACATCTACATCGGCGACTCCTTCTGCCTGTTTGTTGATGGGAGTTCAAACTGTTAAGGAGCGGGGGCAGGAGTAGTGTTAGTATTGCCAGATAAGCGAATATTAGAGCAGTCTATTCGTTTGGGGTTCAAGCCCTCAAACAATGAAGTAGAGTATAAGGCACTGATTGCAGGGTTGAAGTTAGCAGCAGCAATGAAAGCCGATAAGGTGGTAGTCTTCTATGACTCCCAACTTATTGTGAATCAAGCAACATGCGAGTATGCAGCCTGAGATGAAAGAATGATAGCCCATATTAAATAAGTTGTTAGATTGTTAGCATTGTTCTAGGATTGCTGGCTGCAGCAAGTTAGCTGAAATGATAACAATTATGCCGATGCCTTGGCTAACCCAGCTAGTGCAATGAAATCAGGGGGGACAAGGACAATAATAGTCGATTGTTTGTCAGGCCCAAGTGTAGAACCACTGATCACAGAGTACGAAGCAATGTGTGTGGAGATTACATCCCTCCCAGGTTGAGGACTTCCTGTATGAAATTCATGAAGGTGTATGTGGCAGCCATGCTGGGGGCAGATCACTGGCCCATAGAGCCATATCCTAGGCATACCGGTGGCCATACATGCAGAAAGATGTTGAAACTTATGTGAGAAAATGTGAGAAGTGTCAAAAGTTTGCACCTTTGACACATCAGCCAGCAGCAGATTTGAACCCAGTGTCTAGTCCTTAGCCGTTTGCCCAGTGGGGCATGGACCTAGTAGTGCAACTACCCCAGGCAACTGGATAGAGAAAGTTCTTGTTAGTAGCCACAGACTACTTCACAAAGTGGGTAGATGCTGAACCCCTTTCGAAGATTCGGGATATTGATGTAAAAACTTCATCTGGAAGAATATCATTACCAGGTTTGGGATTCCAAAAGCCATTGTGGCAGACAATGGCACCCATTTTGATAGTAAGCTAATGAAGAGCTTCTGTGCAAAGTACAAGATTAAAAACTATTACTCTACTCCTAGTTTTTCCCAGAGTAATGGACAGGCAAAAGCATCCAACAAGACCATTTTGGATGGAATCAAGAAGAGGCTGGAAGCAGCCAAGGGAAAGTGGGTAGAAGAATTGCCCAATGTGCTATGGGCATATCGTACTACGCCGAGAAGATCAACCGGGGAGTCTCCTTTTTCCATGGCTTATGGCACAGAAGTAGTTATCCCGTTGGAAGTCGGTATTCCTGGAATCAAAACCCATGGAGTGGAGAATGGAACCAATGAGGCGTTCTTAGCTCGAGATCTAGATCTATTGGAAGAAGGAAGGGAGAGAACAACAATTCGGCTAGGGGTATACCAGCAGCAGCTTGCTAGGGCTTATAACAGGAAGGTCAACCCAAGGGAGTTCAAGGTTAGGGACCTGGTCCTAAGGAAAGTGGTCGACAGTAAGAAAGACCCAAGGAAGGGCAAACTTGGCCCAAATTAGGAAGGGCCCTATAGAATCATCTCGGTTACCGACAATAGGGTATATTGGTTTAAAGATACTGATGGCAAAGAGTTGCCAAGACCCTGGAACACTTGCAATCTAAAGTTTTTTTTTATCATTAGGTTCTATTTTCTGAGATTTATGTAATGATTAGCCGAGATTATAGTAAAATGCTAGTTTGTTTCTATTAAATTGTCAAAATTTGTGCGATAGGACTGAACAGTCTTATGACGATGTTTGTCAAACATGTAGAGTAACTTAGACTTGCCATATGGTAGAGTTGAAACTTGCCGTATGGTAGAGTTGAACTAAGTTGGCGGTGTTTCTAATTGAAACATGACAAGTAACTTAGACTTATTATATGGTAGAGTTGAATTATACTTGCCATATGATAGAGTTAAACTAAGTTGGAGATGTTTCTGATTGAAATATGACGAGTAGCTTAGACTTATCATACGATAGAGTTGAATTATACTTGCCACATGATGGAATTGAACTAAGTTGGCAATGTTTTCAATTGAAACATGATGAGTAACTTAGACTTGCTATGATGGCAGAGTTGAACTAAGTCCAAACTAGTCAGATTAACAGAAATACCGAGGTAGATAAACTTGGCTACAATTTATTGGACTCAAATTTGGGCAAAAGTCAAAGATGCATGCTTAATGTGAACATAAGTGATACTTAGGTTCACATTAGGGGGCAAGAAGCAAGAATAGGCTTGACACTTGTTGAAATTTTAGAAAAATTTACAAGATGGAGTCAGTCGTGGTGTTCAGATTAGGGAACACCCGAGGTATTTATTAACTGAGATAACCAACTGGGTTCTCAAACTTCGAATGGTTGGAAGGATAAAAGTCTTGGTAGAAGACAACAAGTACAAGTAGGGATGCAATACTTGTTGACTGTTGTTCAAAGAAATTTTAGCAAAGAAACAGCACTTGTAAAAATATTTTGATGAAATATTTTTTAAGTGTTGGCTGAGAAAAACAGTAAAGGGTTTTACCTGAGGTGAAACTTGTTTGAGACATTCCAACCCGAAGTGATTACACAGTTAAGGTGTTGTAGACACCCCATTTTTGACCGCCCTTAAGACTTGGGCACTATTGATGGTTTACTTGGTGGAGAAAGGTGTGCAGGGCAAAGGTTCAGTTTCCTCGGCAAGGAGAGAGTCAAATCTCAACTTCATACCCCCTTTTGGACCAAAACAATCTTGATCAAAATATTTTAGATCTTGAAACCCTCTCTTACAAAATGTTTTGAAAATAAAGTTCCTACGATGTTCCGACGCTTGCATTTCGTTAAATGTTGCGCTTTTCGGTAAACTGAGCAAGGGCGAAGTGAAAATGAATGAAAGAGAGTTGAAATCTTTGAAAAATCTTTCAAAACACCTTGTTTAGGGGTTTGGAGTTGAGGAAAATTGGAGAAGAGGGAAGAAACCAAGTTGAAGAAGAAGGTGGGTATGAATCGCTAAGAGAGAGAGCCGAGCGGTCCTCACTAAATCACGCCTATCTGTCTATACACTTGGATTTTAACTATGAGGCCACCACCGTTGGAAAGCTTATTTCCAGGGCTTCATTTTTCAATTAAGAATCTCCTAGAGCCAAGTCCGGATGGGGGAGATATGGTTGGTTGAAGTAGGGCATCAATCCGGTTGGACCGAAACTGCGTGGCTTCACCAAAATAGGCATAACGTTTTGCATAGTTGGAATTTTGATGCAAGGCTGGTGCCATTGGAAAGCTAACTTCTGGGGCTTCAACTTGGACACTAGATGACCACTTTTTGGCCTTTTCAGCCATTGGCCAACCACTTTTCTTTCTGGGAGACCACTTTTTGTCCTGAAAACCAGAAAAAGTAGCTGGCCGACCAGAAAAAGTGGCTGGCCAACCACTTTCTCATGAAAAGTGGTCGGCCGACCAATAAAAGTAGTTGGCCGACCACTTTAACTAGTCGGCGGCCTTCCTGCATATTCTGCAGGTGTTGTGGATGCCAGCTGTGCTAGTTAGAGGGCACAGACTGTATCCTCCATACGTATGGAGGGATTTATCCAAGCTATAAGCTTCTCCAAGAAGCTTTAGCTTATGTTTTTCTACAAGAGAGAGGCTTCCCCTCCCTTCTCCAGGGCTGGATTTTGGCTGAGAGCATAGGCTTACACTCTCTCTATATCCCTCTCTTTCTCTCTCGATATTGGTGCTTTGCTTCACACTTGTACACACAACCTCATAGCCAAACACTCTTACCTTGTTGCTGATTTGCTGGAGGGTCTTGAGGAAGCTCAAGAGTTGGTTTTGGCTCAGAAAATTTGCTGGTATTGCAGTGCTTCAAGGGTAACCTTCTTTTCCCCCCTTTTAGCTCTATTTTGATCACTCTCTTAGCCATATTTTCATGCTTCTCTTGGCTTAACTTTAAACTAAAAAAAGCTTTATTTTTGAGTACTTAACATGTTTGTTTGAGGCTCCTTGGGTGTTGGGGGTGTTCTACCCCCTTTTGTGCCTTGTTTGGCCTTGTTTTGTGCCATGCCTTGAGGCCTTTTAATTAGTCTTTGCTTGGCCTTTTAACCACTGAAATCCAGTGGATTTTCATTGGTAGGCATGTGGTTTTAAAGCCTCAAATCAGAGGGGGGTGATCTCATCTCTTCATGTTTTGTTTGCTTGCATTATTGGCCTATCAAAGGAGCATGTGTTTCTACCATTTTGAGGCTTAGTTCAAGAACTTTTTTGTGACTTCTAGGGCTTGCCTTGACTCTGTCCATGGCTGGTTTGGTCACCTTTTGCATGCTTCTTGTATGTGTAGTGTAATCCCATTTGTGGCTCATCAAAGTAGCATGTCTTTCTAGCATGTATTGGCTCTATTTCTGTGGGTTTTGGGCCATCATTTGACATGTCATAGCTCTATTTTGGGTTGGTTTGACGGCCTCATGCATGCTCCATGCACTTGTAGTGCATTTCCATGACATAGCCTAACATGCATCATGCTTCGACATGTCATTTTAGCATGCTTTTGGCTTAGCTCTTAGAAGACTTTATTCATGTTTTAGCATGCTTAAGGTCTGATTTATGTTGTTTTTTCCATGCATGCAATGCTTTGTATAGCCATAATGCATTTTAGCTCACTAGCCTTGAGTTTCCAAGCCACTAGCATGCATTGCTTGGGCTATTTGCATGATTTAACATCATTTGAAATGATATTTCAAAGCTTATATCTTTGCCATATTCTCATGTTTATCACTCCTTCAATGTGTTTGAGAGTTGCACCTTTATGCCTTGTTTGTGAGCTATTGTATGAGCCTCATTTTCTTGTCTTTCAAGCCATCATCCCAGTCCATTTTGGCTACTGTTTTGGCCCGCATAGGGTCTGTTTGGGATTAGTTTGGCCATTTGAGCATTATCTTGCATGCCTCTAGTGTAATACACTTCACTAGCTTTGACGCTTGAGCCTTTCAACATGCATTACATGGGTTGTTGGCATGATTCTAAGTCATTTTGCATGTCATTTCAGTGTTGGAACATATGCTATTGTACCCTGTAGACACCCCATTTTTGACCGACCTTAAGACTCAGACATCACCAGTTGAGCACTTGGTGATACTGCATATCGTGCTCGTCTAGAAGTTTTAGAGTCTCGGCTGCGAGCCTTGCCTCCGGACTTTCGGACTCTTTTGTGCTTTGCCTCGGTTTGCGAACCAGGCTCGATTTTCTCTGTTTCTTTTCCTGAGGGGAGGGAGAGGTCCCGTAGACCATCTCTCAGTGGCCGTGGGCTACATTTTGTGGCTGTAGGCCATTTTTCCCATTTCGGAGCCCGGTTCCCGGTTGTCGGAGCTGTCAGGCTGTGTGCCTCGGTTCGGGACCGCTTAACCATCTCCTATTGCTCCGATTTTTGCCATACTTCTTATTTGCTCCCTTTTGAGGGACACTGAGGTCTGAAAGACCCACTTCGTGGCCGAACACCACTCCCGGTGCCTAACAGCCAGTTTTCGGGGCCTCGGGCTACGCGTTTTGGCCCCTGAACCTTCATTTTGCATCGGTTTGCGTTTCGGCCCCCGAACCTTCATTTTGCATCGATTTGGGCTCATTTTTGGTGGAAACCTTATTTTCACTATTAGAAAGCTTGTAGGAGGGTGGGAGGCTAGCAATTTTGCTGAAAAGCCAACTTCTTTTTGGTCAAAAGTGGTTCAGCATGAATCTGGGAAGGAGAAAAATCTGCGCGGCTTCACCGAAACGAGCGTAACTCTTTGCACAAGAGGAATTAAGATATGAGGCCACCACCATTGGAAATATTACTTCCGGGGATTCATTTTGCACTCAAGAATCTCCCAAGTCCAAGTCCGGGGGGGGGAGAGATATGGTTGGTTGAAGTCTGGTTGGACCGAATCTGCGCGGCTTCACGGAAAAGGGCATAACTTTTTCTACAGGAGGAATTTTAATGCAAGGTTTGCGCCATTGGAAAGCTAACTTCTGGGGCTTCATCCTAGTTTTTTCCAATCAATAAAATATTAATTAAATTGTGATCTAGTTGAATTTGTATCTTTTAATAATCTAGAATTGAATCGTGATCTTTTCAAAAATTGAATCAACCCAATCTACGAAAGTTGAATTAATTCAATTTAGTAACATTTGAATTTCCAGCTGTGCCTTGGTTTTCCCCCAAAAATATCTATATCCGGGGGACCCTTTTGGAGGGAAAAGAAGCCTCATTTCCCTCCACTTTTGCCTAGACTCTTCTCTCTCTCTCTCTCTTGCATATATTGCTGGCCTCCCAACTCAAGAAAAAGGGTTACAAGAATTGACTTGAGGATATACATACATATCACTCCATTTCCTTCAAGTTTTGGCTCCATTTTCTTCATCATCTCCAAGCTCAACCATCACCACTCCATTCCAACAGCAAAGGAAGGGATTCCAGCAGCTTAGAGTCATCAAATCTGGTCCAAGAAGCAACAAAAGTGTTGGTCTTCAAGGGTAAGTAGACTTTCCCCCTTTTGTAGCTCATTTTTGTGCCAATTTCTTAGCCAAGTTGCTTATTGTTTTGGGCTCCGACCTTAACTGAAACTAGGTCTATTTTGAGCTATTCTACATGTTTGTTGAAGGGTTCAACCCTATTTGAGAACCCCATCTCACACTTGTTTCAATATCTCTTTGTATGTCAATATTCTTGTATGCTTCACTAGCCTATCATTTTTCTATTTTTGGACCATGATCAGAACTGAAAGTGGCCTTAT